GTAGCCGGTCCCGGTCCGGTACAGGCGCGACACTGAGGGTTGCGATCCGTTGCCGGTCACGAAAAAAGACAAAAAGGAAAAAAAAAAATTGCTCTAATTTTTTTTTTTAATTAAAAGTGATTCCACCAGGGTTTGTTAAAAAAAAGAAATCATTTTTGTTGTGAAATATTTTAAAACCACAGAGAAAAACAGAGGAAAATGTAATAAACACTGAGTTACCTCCCTCTAACTTTATCATATCTTAACATTATGCCATATTTGCTGAAACTCTTTGTTTTTTAAGAAATTGAAATATGCAGATACAGCTCAGGGCCCCTCTGACCCCCTCCCCAGTCTCATCTCCCTTCTTTCCTGCAGAGGTAACCACTATCTTTAATTCAGTGATTATTACTTTCAGGCAAGTCTTCATATTTCTACAGCATACCTATGCATTCATGAACATTATATGTCTTGAACTGCAGGTATAACATTTTATATAAATGGGATCATACAGTATCATTCTGAAACTTTCTCTCTTGTTTGGCTAAATTTATGTTTGTTGAGATTTATCCATGTCAATTCACTGATTTTAATGGCTGGATAGTATTTCATTGCATGTCTATTCCATAGGTTATCAAGTCATTTTCTTGTTCATTTGTATTTTCTTTTTTTTTTTTCCTTTTGTCTTTTTTCGTGTCCGGCAACGGACCGCAACCCTCAGTGTCGCGCCCCTACTGGACCAGGACCGGCAATGGGATCGCAACCCTCGGTGCTGCCCCCACACCTCGCTCAGCCAGTGAGCGGGAACCGGTCTGTATGTGGGATCCAAACCCTTGGCGGGAGCACCACTGCGCTCCCAAGCGGCGCACTATAGCAGTGTGCCACCGGGCCAGCCCCATTTGTATTTTCTTTAACGTTTTAGTTTTGAAAGCAATGCTGCAGTAAACATGCTTCCACATATCTCTGCAGCATCTTATGAATTTGAATTGTGGCTTTTCACTTATTAACTTGTGCTCTTGACCATGTGAATTAGTTTGTTCATACCTTCGAGCAGTTTTCTGGAAAACAGGGATAGTACTAGTACCCATCTTAGGCAGTTGTTGTGAGGATTGAAGGGACGACATACGTAAAGCATCGCACACGTATCTTATTTTACAGGCTTACTGCAAAAATGGAATTAGAACATAATAGGAATCTTTCCATGACCTTTTCGAAGACCCCTCATGTATATGTGTACTTATCCATACATTGCACACACATATATATCACCTCCACGTGTGTGCATTTCATCATAAGAAATAACTCCCCAGGCATGATGGGAGCAGTTTCCTCAGGGTCTTCTCAGCGGTGCAGGAGCCCCGTTAGCCCCTGGTGCCAAGCAGAGAGGTGACCTCTAATCCCCTATTTGGCGTGGGGCACTGATATCCTTCAGGAGCTAACCTCTCACACCACTGTTTGCATCCAGACTCAAGTGAAAATGCTTCTGTGCTCTGCTTACACTTTGGTGCTTCTCTTCCATTTCTGGTTCATGGAGATGCTTATTTTTATTTATTTGAGTCTGACTGTATCTTTTTTAAACAACAACAACAACAACAACAAAACATGTTATCCATCATTGCTATATGTTTGAAGCAGAAAAAGTTAGTGAAGCATATACTATGCTAAGCCTGAAGTCTATGTCCTGGAATTCTAATCCTGCACCTTTTATAAACTGATTTTTCCACTGTGAATAAGACTAACCATAACTCTGTAGACATTTGCATTTTGTTCAGAAAATGTTCCTCCCCTGTCGCCTTGGTCCAAGCTTGGGGCTGCATTAACAAAGGTTCAGTCAAGGCTACCCAACAGCATTTGGTTGTTATTTGTCAACTACACTGATTCAAGAATGTCACCAGTTGGTTTGCCCTTCTTTTGGTTTTTAGGTTTGCTTATTAAAAATAAAGACTGCACAGATAAGTAGAAAGAACAAATAAAAAACAGCCACCCATCCACTAACTAGAGAAAGCCACCACCAATGGTTTGGGTTTACCTTTCCTAATAATTAGCCTCTTTCATGGAGTTATTAACCAACGAAAAATCTGCTTTTGTTTGAGATTGATTAGTGAAGGTTATTTTTTGAACCAAATTACTCTTTCATTTGTCTACTTTTGTTAACAAGAGAGAAGAGATGATAATTGCAATGATTTATTTTATTTTATTTTATTTTATAGGGTTGTTGTCTGCAGATTGCAATTACCATGTCTGATGCAGTAATTCTTCGCAGTGTGAAGAAGTGTGGAGAGGAGAACCATGGTTTTGAGTCGGATGGATCACGTAAGTGACCTTTTCTCTCCCTGTCTCTTGTACAAGGAGAGGTGACAATAAAAGTGGGACAAGCTAGCGAAGTTTCAAGGAGCAGAAAACGATCAGCAACAATATGTAGAACTGTTGTTGGGTGTGTCTTACACATGACCATGTGGTTCTCCCTAGAATCCATGTAACAACATCTGAAAGTGCCAGGTAAGAACCCACAAAGTGCGGATGAATGAAAGCATCTCTCATAAACACCTAGGTAGAGTAGGGTTGCTCCAGCAGTGGCTATTATTATTAACTTTATTCCTCTATTGCTGTTATTGATCACAGTAGTGACAGAGCCATCATTTAGTGAGTGCTGCTCCCTGAGAGGAGCTGTGCTACGTCTCTGCTGGCCAGAATGAGACCATGTGAAAGGGGCACTTGTGCCTGGCATGCCTTGAGCACAGATGATTCTAAGCTATTGTTGTTAATTTTCAGCCCCATGATTTTACATCTTACAGGTGAAGAAACTGAGAATTGGATAAATTTTTTAAAACTTGGTAAAGGTCACACAAGTAATAATTCATGGAAACATAATTCTAATCCAGTTCTGTCTGATTCCCAAGCCTAAAATATCATCCTCTATCTACACTACAATGCCTTTTTACTCTTACTTAGATGGAAATGCCAGGGGAACCAGGATGTGCTGTCCTGTAGGTGACAAAGCACCTTAGATTTTCTTTCACCCATGACCCCGAGCTCTTACTTTCACCTCCTACCCTACATCTGCCCTGACCTGTGCTCGGGAAAGTAGTATGTGTCTCAACCCTACAGCTTCTACTAGTGCGGATGTCTCAATGACATCTTAATGTCTAGCTCATTTGTGGTTTATATTTTAAATAGATCAATTTTGATGCTTCTAAAGAACCAAACAATAACTATTTATTTTATTTTATAGTTAAAAAATCAGATTTTCTTCAGCTAATTTAAAAATGTTGGCCTCCATTTGAGATTCAGAAAATACAAATATTTCATGTCCTGGGGAAAAGTCCAGAAATGTAGTCAAGTCCTGCATCTGAAAGTGTCTTTTTGTGTACTGTAATACACAGATAGTGAGAGAGAGAAAGAGCATGAAAAGTAAAGAGAAAAGGCAAATAATAATTTTATAATGTTCCACGAATAAAAGTAATTGATAGAAATGTTTTTCTAGAGCAAACTTGTTAATGACTATGTTGCATTTGTCATTATCATTAACTGCTTTATGCATTATTTTTTATCCCGACAGATAATAATGATAAATCAAGGTAAGTGACTGATTTCAGCAATGCAACATCTTTTCTAGAATAACTCCATAATATTCCTGTAAAAGGCACAAAGTAGAGGATATTTTCATATGCATTGAACTTTCTAGAAAATGGTCACATAACCCATTTTTTTTCACTTTAAAACTTTATTCTAATTTAGTTTTAAAAGCCTTTTGTAATATTCCTTCTGGATTAGGTCCAAATCTCCCCCTGAATGTTCAGGAATGCCAAAAAATTCCTGACCTAAGTCAGCAGAGGAAAAGGTGGACAATAAGTTTGATTTCATGAGTACGGGGCAGTTCATGAACCCCAAATTCTTCCCAGAGGCAAGCAGTAGAAACCTAAAGTTTAATTATTAGGTATTTCTTTTTAGCTTAAGAATTTAAATTCTCATATTAAACAAATGACAGCTAATCACACTTTAGCATGAAGGCAGGATTAGACGGGGTATAATTTGGAAGACAGAGGAAAGGCACAAGGTGAGTTCCAGAAATGGAGGTGGTGCAACGGGAGGGGTTTTAGACATTTAAGAAATTTTAAGTGATTCATGGTAGAAGGAGGCTGTGGTAGTAGCAAGATTAGATTTGGGCTAAGAGGGGCAGCATCAGCCTGGGCCTCCAAGAACCATGCTTTTCTCACTGAATGGAAAAGAGAAAATGGGTGTGGACATGGATGAATTAGTAGGAGGTTGAATGAGTTCTTTCATTTTTAGAGGAGGTGAATATAGATGAGATTACAGTAAAGTTTGACAAAGCTGATGAGGGAAATGGGCGCCATCTTTAGAGGAATGAAGCTCAGTGTGGCGGGTTGAGCTGGAAAGCACACATTCATTCATTCATTCATTCATCTCACAGATATTAACTGAGTGCCTATTAGTTGCTGAGGGTACAGAAAAGAACAAATTAGACAAAAATCTCTGCCCTTGAGGAGCTTACACTATAGTGAGGGAGATATCGGTAAACACCATAAGTAAATAAAATGTATGGCATGATAATCTATCACTTTCTTCCTAAGAAGAAAAAGTAAACATAACAATAGAGCTACGAACTGGTGTATGTGTGGGGGAAGAGGGAGTTGAAAGTTTAGAGACTTTGGCCAGGGAAGACCCTGTTGACAAGGTGACCCTAGGGAAGGTCTAAAGGAGGTGAAGGAGATGTCCACATGGGTATCTGAAGGAGGAGGAGAGGGAACAGGAAGTGCCAGCACCCAGAGGTGGGAACAATGTGGCACAGACCAAGGTCAGCATGAGGCCAGGTGACCGAAGCGTTCAGAACTGGAATGGAGTAGGAAGAGGACATGAGGTCACAAGGCTAATGGGTCAGACCGTGGGGGCCTTGGACGATGTCTCAGAAAGGCCTTGGGATTCTGCTCTGGGTTGGAAAGGAAGCTCAAGGGCAGCAGAGTGACAGACACCCCTGCATTGGTACCGGGTCACTTGGTGGTAAGCTTGTCCCCAGCAGGCCCTGCAGCCCAGCTTAAGGAGAAGAGGGGCAAACAGCTGGATGGAGGCAGAGATGGAGTTTACAAGGGTAGATTTGGGGAAAAGGACTGAGGATGATGGTGAGAGTGTGGCTCGAAAGCCGGGCAGTGGGACCTGGGGAAGGAAGCAAAATCTCTATGGGGTTTAGTGATGGAAGGAAATGGAGAACTTAAGGGACTGCAGGTGTCATTGAGGCTGACAAATACATAGGTGTGGAAGGAGGAAGGAAGTGAGAAAACAAGATGCATGGGCTGTCACAGAGGTCTGTATGCCAGTCAGTAGTTCCTGGTGACAGCAAGGTCCAGGGTGTATCTGCGGAATGGGTGACTCAGGGGAAGAGATCATTGGAGCTGAAGAGGTCAAGAGCGGGTTAAGCATAATCTTATGAGAAATGAAATAATAAGAAATACTAAGGAAATATAATTTCATGGGAAGTATTTTCCATCATATCAGCACTATTTACTGTAGCTGTAAATTTTAAAGTGCGAGAAGGAAGCTTTAAAATTAGCAAATCCAACCACTTCAACTTGCGCATGAATAGGTGGAAGGTTATGACTGAGGGCCAATGGTTATTTGTTGGTATAACTGGGAGTACAGAGAACTTTTTAGGTTTTCTTCATACCTCTCAGAAAAACCTCAGTGAATCTCTACTGAACATGAGATATAGCTATTCTGAAATCTCCAGAAGAGGTAAATCTAAAACAATAAAAGCTTATTTTTAAGATACTGGGTTTAGCCAGAATTTCCCAGCCAGTGGGAACTTACTTTCTCACTAAAGAATGACTCATGAAATCACCACCTAAGGAGAATTTCTCATTGTTTTGGAAGGGAAGGTCTTTAAATCCCTGTTTTTCTCCCCAGGTTACAAGATGAGAAAAGAGGTGACAGCCCTCCAGTTGGCTTCTTTCAATTGGTAATAAAACTGCTGACTTGTGGCATCGTCTTTGCAACTGTGAATTGCCTAGATATGGAGGAAGTGTTAAATCATTAGTCACATTGGCAGGTTTTAACTACAGTGATCACTTTTTCAGTCATAAGCTTTGCACATGTGATAACATGCTGAATAACAATTAGAAATATGTTGCTGATTAAACACAAAAATCCTAATAGATCAGAAATATATCCTGGAAATTATCAACAGGCCCATAATTGTCATCTTTGTAAGGAAAATTATCACAGTAATCACATCGTATGTATTTAGAAGTTCCGTAGTATATGAATTTACCCCAAATTTGCACAGGGTGGAGGCATTTCTAGGCACAGATAGGCTCTCTTCATTGTCAATAACAGTTCTGGGAACTGATTTTTTTTTTCTTTGTGTGTGTGTTTGTGTATTTTTTTTTTCTCTTTCTTTTCTGGTGGCTGGCCAGTACTGGAATCTGAATCCTTGACCTTGGTGTTATCAACACCATGCTCTAACCAACTGATCTAACCCACCAGCCCATGGGTGCCAATTTTTGCCATTGCTGAATGGCCCGCACAGTTGTCTACTTGGTAGTGGCATCCATGATGGTGATTGCTCTCCCCTTAAGTTGTGACTAATTAGCTAAAAACTAGAGTCAGCTCCTGAGGTAAAGAGAATGAATTCAGAGTTGAGGAAAGAAATAATATCATCTAACAATGTAAATCTAATGTTTTCGATCATCAATGTGCAGTTTATTTCAATATAATTAGTGTGACCTCTACTTCTCAATTTAGATGGTTCCCATAAAATTTGGTGTTGAGTGCTACGTATCAGAATAATATAACTAAAATTAAATAGTCCTCCTACCTCTCCTGCTTTTTACCCATTGATGATCTCTGAACCCTTTGTTCTTCAAGTTTCGGTTTTCTTCATCAACTGACATTTGGCTGATGTTTGCGGGAAGTTTATGTGCATGTCTCCATGGAGTAGCCCTGCCAGGCGTGCTGTTCATTTTCGGCTCAATGACAGATGTTTTTGTTGACTACGACACTGAATTACAAGAACTCAATATTCCAGGAAAAGCATGTGTAAATAACACCATAGTATGGATCAACAGCTCCCTCAACCAGAACATGACAAATGGAACTCATTGTGGGTAGGTTGCTACTTTTTTTTCTCTTTTTACTTTTTTTGCTCATTTCTTAAATTGTAATTCAAATTGTGTAAAGGGGACTTTATTGCCTGATCTAGAGTAGTGTCTAACACAGACAGAACAGAAACATAAATTTACCCATATTTCTAGAAACAACACTGCTTTTCCATCTTACCAGGTTCTAAAATTATAATAGAAACAGAATTGGTGGTCAAATTCTCATCAAATACATTGCCAGAATTTATAGGCTTGAGCATGATACTACCAATACTTACTGCCACTAGGGAGGTGACCCATGAGTTTCACTTGAGTCTCATATCCAAGAATTCCTCCCCCTAGCCCTCCCACTAACTCCCTTCCTCTCCTGAGCTTTGTGGCTGGGGCTGATGATCCACTTGATTCTAAGTCTTCTCTCTTTAATGCAAATTACTTGGAGTAGGGACTCTGGTCTCAGTCAGTACTTGAGTTTCTTTCTTTCTTTCTTTCTTTCTTTCTTTCTTTCTTTCTTTCTTTCTTTCTTTTTTTGTAGCTGTTTGTATGGGTATCTGAACATGTGATCTTGGGGTTATAAGGCTAAGCTCTAACCAACTGAGCTAACTGGCCAGCCAAGTACTTAAGTTTCTATGGAAGAGTGTTGTGGTGCTGTGAACTGATGGCAGCCAGGCAGACAGAGCCAGAACTTAGCCAGGCACAGTCACTATGCTACTGTTCTCCTTGTGATAAGCCTGACAGGCTACCTTGTCATCAGTGAGTCCGTAGTGTACTCAAGGCTGACTCACTCTCACAGCATGGACTTTGCTGCCTGTCTCATGCTGCCTCAGGTTCAGAACAAGCTCATTTGCACGTATGAACCCTCATGCTCAGGCTTGAGAATCAAGGGCAGGACACATCATTCCAAGTGTCTTCAATCAGAAATTTTCTGAAGCCCAACTTTGTACCAGGAACTTGTGGAAGCATCAGGGTCACAGCTATCTTGAAAGTCATGGTCCTTATCTTTGTGGATCTTAGGTCTAGTCAGTCAGACCATCATTCAATCAATGATCATTCAAATAAATATGGAGTCACAAACTGATAGATGGAAAAGCACAGGATAACATACAATGTGCAGAATTACCCTTTAAAAATCAACAAACCTACTCATTAGAAATATATTTCCCATTGTCTAAATATGTATGTTTCTTTTCTAAACTTGGAAGTTTTTTTCATCTGAAAGGCTCTGAGCAGTTTGTATAAAAGAGAGATTGACTTTAACGACAGTCTTTAAGTCCTTCATTTATGTTGGAGGACAGAAATGAACTGGTTTTTGCAGAGTTAATCACTCTCCCCTCCTGGGGAAAAATGCATTTAGACTTATGATGTAAATTAACCCAAACCATTAATGATGCTCATGAAAATAACTTTTTCAAGGGAAAAGTCCTATAATTATATGCCTTAAAAATTGGAAACAAATGTAAGAGGGGCCAAAATTTGAGGCATACCCATGATACAGGGTGCTCGTAAATATTTGTTAGGTGAATGAAAGAATGAATCTGCCTCTAATGTTGGCATCACAGGCATTCAATAGAAAGGAACTCTCTATGGCCACCCAGTGCCCAGTCCATTCATTCTTATGGGGGCATATGCCTGAAGGTGAGCACATAGTGCACACTGGGTGCTTCCAGAAGTCCATGGGCTTTGGCTGAATTCACATGGAAAATGAACATTTACAAACATGTAAATGAACATTTGTCCTGTTCTTTTTTTTTTTTTTAAACTTCATATAGATATCTGAAATTGTATAGACCGCACCTTTCTAGTCCATTGCTTTACCAGGAACTCCTTGACGAGTTAAATACTTTGCGAGTTATTATGGTCACTGACATGAATACTATTTGTTTTACTTCTGAGTAACATGTTTGTTTAGCTTTTATGTTGTAAGATCATTGTGAAAATGGATTTGAGTGGGAGAGAGGAGAAGAGGACATTTTCCTACTTATGAGGATAATATGCCTCCAAAGTTACCCAACCTTTCTGCAAGTTTCTTTCCTGGAAAAAGTATATCATTAAAGATATAATTTCTCCACCTATTATAACAGATGTATTAGTCTTGGAATATACAAGACAATTCAATAATTTTAGCAACATAATCATGCATGTGTAATGGTAGGAGCTGGTTTTACTCTTTTCTTGTATTGATTTCTACATATCAAATATAATCGTTGAATGGAATTTTTAAGCTACAGCTTCCCAATGGCTCTCAGTGAGTAACACTGATAAGGATTAGAGAACATCAGGCCTTCTGCTCAGAATAGTCAAGCAGTAAAAGGATGAAAGTGGATAAGAGCATGGAAGTTAAAATACCACAATGCAATTTCCTTTTATTTTCTTTTATCTAATTCAAGTGTAAACACTCAAATGGAAGCCACAAAGTCTTTTTAATTTAATCACGAAAGACATATACCACAATTTCTCCTCTATTCTATTGGTCACACAGACCATCCCTGGTGGAATTTGGAAGGGGACTACACAAGAGTGTGAATAGTGGGAGACAAGAATCTTTGGGGGCCTCTTGGAGGCTGGGCTACTTCAGCCATCGGGAAGCCTGTGTTCTCACTGGCCCCACATATGGATGCCTCACTGTAGAAATCCGAGCCTGTCCTTTCACTTGGATTTCAGTCTACTTTCTTAGTAATGTACATTTAGTTATGCATGCAAGCACCATTTTGAAGTTAGATCCTGTAAAACCATGCACTTTAAAAAAAAATTTTATTGCTATATGATTTATAAACCTCTAAGTTTACCCATATAAATTGTTTTGAATATATTCGCAGAATTTTGCATCCATCGCCACAATCAATTTTAGATTTTTATTGCCACAAAAAGAAACCCCGCACTCCTTAGCCATCTCTCCCTAATTCCCCAATCATCCTCCCCCCAACCCCAGCTCTAGGCAACTACTAATCTACTTTCTGTTTTGGGGGATTTGCCTATTTTGGACATACAAATGGAATCATATAATATGTGGTCGTTTGTGACTGGTTTCTTTAACTTAGCATAATGTTTTCAAGGTCCATCCATGTTGTAGCATGAATCAGTACTTCATTTCTTTTTATTGTTGAATAATATTTCATTATATGGATATATTTTATCTATACATTCATCAATTGATGAATATTTGGGTTGTTTTCACTTTTTGGTTTTTACAAATAATGCTGCTGAAAACAAACATTTGTGCACAGATTTTTGTGAGGTCATATGTTCTCATTTCTCTTGGGAATATACCTAAAAGTGAATTTGCTGGGTCATATAGTTACATGTTTCACCATTTGAGGAACTGCTGGACTTTTTTCTAAATTGACTGTACAATTCACATTCCCCCAACCATATATGAGGGTTCCAATTTCTTCACATCCTTATCAACACTTGTTATTTATTGTCTATATTTTCATGATAGTTCTATAGGATAAATAATGGTCCCCAACGATATCCAGGTCCTAATCCCTGGAACATGTGAATCTGACCATATATGGAAAAAAGAGTATGCAGATGTGATTAAGTTAAGGATCTTGGGATGGGGAAGATTATCCTGGATTATCCAGGTGGGCCCTAATTGCAATCATAAGTGTGCTTAAAAGGGGTAGTTACTAAGAAGAAGATTTGACTGTAGAGAGAAGAAGGGAGGCAAGGTGACTATAGAGGAAGATATTGGGATGATGTTGCCACAGCCAAGGAATGCCAGCAGTGAACAAAAGCTGGAAGAAGCAAGGAACAGATTCTCCCCCAAGCCTTTGGAGAGAGCGCAATCCTGGCAGCACCTCGATCTTGGCCCTGTAAAGCTATTTCAGACTTCCAGCCTCCAGAAATGTGAGGGGATACATTTCTCTTGTTTTAAGCCACCAAGTTTGTGGTAATCTGTTCCAACAGCCACAGGAAACTAACACGGTCGTCATCCTAAGCAAGTGTGAAGAGATATCTCAACGTGGCTTTGATTTGCATTTCCCTGATGGCTACTGATGTTGGGCACCTTTTTAGATGCTTGTTGACCATTTGTATGTCTTCTTTAGAAAAATGTTCATTCAGATTCTTTGCCCTTTAAAAAAGTGTGTTATATGTCTTTTTATTATTGAGTTGTAAAAGTTCTCGGTGTATTCTAGATATACATCCCTTGCTAAATATATGAATTCTCTTTTTTGGAGTTGTGTTTTCAATTTCTTGATAGTGCTCTTTGAAACACTAAGTTTTTAATTTTGGTGATGCTCAGTTTTGTTGTTGTTGCTTTCGCTTTTGGTGTCATATCTAAGAAACTATTGTCAAATCCAAGGTCATGAAGATTTACACCTTATGTTTTCTTTTAAGAGTTTCATAGTTTTGCTATTATATTTAAGTCTATGATCCATTTTGAGTAAATTTTTCTATATGGTGTGATTTAGGAGTCCGACTTGATTCCTTTCCACAGCATTAGAAAGTAATTTTTCCCCGCTGAATAGTGTTAGAACCTTTGTCAAAATCAATTTACTGTAAATGTGATGGTTTATTTCCAGACTCTCCATTCTATTTCATTGATCTACATATATATATATATATATATATATATTTATCTTTATGCCAGTAATTCGCTGTTTTGATTACTGTAGCTTTATAGCAAGTTTTGAAATCAGAAAGTATGAGTCCACTAACTTTGTACTTTTTCAATATTTGCCTATTCTAAGTTCCTTGGATTTTTATGTAAATTTAACAATCGGGTTGTTTAACTTCTGCAAAGAAGTCAGCTACAATGCTAGGGATTGCACTGAATCTGTAGACCAATTTGGGGAGCATTGCCATCCTAATAGTATTGTCATCTGATCCACGATTCATTTATTTGAGTCTTCTAAACTAAAGAAAACAACAAGGTTTTCAACAAGATTTAAACAAGGTTTTGTCGTTTTCAGAATATAAATTTTGCACTTCTTTTGTTAAATTTATTGTTAGGTATTTTATTCTTTTTGATGCAATTGTAAATGGAATGTTTTCTTAATTTCATT